ACTTAGAAGCTGTTACATATTTTCAATCTCCTCTATATTCAGACATGTATATGTAGCTCACATGCATCTACATGGTTCCTTAACCATGTGAAAGCAAGTTCATAATCTGTTATCCTTAAGTATAATGGTATTCCTAAAGATATTACAGTACATAATTGTTAGGAGTTTCAACACTTTCATTGATCTACTTTACCTTCTGCATTTCAGATCTGTCAAACCACCCAATAACGTCCTTACCCCAGTACAGGAGCCAGCCTAGGGTCAAGTCTTCTGTCTCTTAACTCCTCTTAAGGTATCCAGCATCTTATCAGATGCCAGCTGCCCTCCAAGGTTAGACTCAGCCTATAAACTCTTAGTCAGTGTGGCACAGAGATGACACTGTGTCCTTTTCAGGGTATCACATTTCGAGTAACAATGACTTCTTCATTGGTGAGGACAACTTTTAGCATCAAACTGTTTTCTCAATTTTCCACTGCATAATTACTATTTCTCTGTTATAATTAGCAGTGGTTTATAGGGTTACTTTTAAACTACATAACTATGTAGATATCTTGTTCATTAAAATTTCCCCCTAAATTTAGCATCTTAATTTGTTCCTAATTCAATCCTTACTAAAACATTCAAACTGCTTCTTTCCAAATCTAGCAGCATCTCTGCTGTTTCCAGTCCATACTGCACAATCACCATGAGCCAGAGTGCTCCTCTACCCCATTAATTAGCTAATCTAATTATACATGGTACAGGCTCATGAGTTACCATTATTCTACAGCGCATCGTTTATGACTGTGATTAATGCTTTGATGTCCTGGTTTGTCCAGATGCAGGCACAGAAGTCCTTGTCAGACAGCTCCTCATGGTATGGATCTATCAACTTCAGCTCCAGGTGTAAGTGAAGTGACTTCTCAGCCCTGAATATCTCATCTTTCTGGAACTGTATACATGATGATGCTGGGAGGGTCTAGACCCTCAGAGATCTTGCTCATTAGATGAAAATCTTCTAATTCTGGAATGCTTGGTTGGATAATAATTCTCAATTTTAGTGTTTTCTTGTTCTGACTGATTTCTTCAAGAAATTCTGCAATTTATTCTTTTTTTTTTTTTTTTAGTGCACTTGAATATAATTCTTGGTAATTTAGTTTCCATTTGCATTTCTGTACTAAATGTTAGCAAATGGTAGCAAGCACCTTTACTCCATGAGCCATCTCACTAGCTCTAGACTTTACTTTTGTTTTGCTTTCATTTCAGATTTGAGGCATATTTTTCTTAGCTCCAAATACTTATTGAGGACATTTAGTTGAATGCAGAGTTTTATGTTACAGTTGTCTTCTGCTTTGTTATTCAATTGCGGTACACATTTTCACCAAAACGGAAACTTCAAGTCACATGAATTTTTACAGCTGGTAATGATGGGAATTTTTTCAGCTTTAAAACACTATTTTATAGAATGGTCTTAGGTCAAATGCACCCTTTTCGGTGTGGGTACATTATGGGTTTGATTACTACTGGCCCCAGGGTGAGAAATGTACAAAATGATGTCTTCTCTTTCTGTAAGACCCTTCACTTTCTTTCTGGTGTTTCTTCTTCATTACTGCTTGGTCCCAAGGTAGTCTGTAGATTCTAACTTACCTGATTCTTCCCACAGAGCACTGACTCTTGGAGGCTGCAATTTCTGGGTGCACACACCTCAGAATCCTGGCTGAGTGCCATCAAGCCCTGACCAGTGGCCAGGCATTTTGACATTAATTACTATACTTTTCTTTCTGGTACTGATTTCACTTATTTCAATGGATTCTTGTTTCTCTTTATTCTTTTCAGAGTCTTTAAAGCCTTTTCTAGGTCCTGGATGCAGTAGTAGGCCAGTTTTAGAACTAATGCTGAAAATTATTTATTCTACTTACTACTATGGAGGTTTGTTTTGGTCTCTGTTACTGTCAGATGGAGGGTATGAGTCATGTATGGCTCTGTTTGCTTTCTTGGCCAATATGATACTTTCTGTGAGGGCAGGGTGAGAGGGACTGAGAGCCAAGTACTCAGCACTGAGCTCTAATAGGCTTCTACTGACACCACAGCTGTATTCAGAGTACATTCCCTGTCTGTGCTTTTACCTTTTCATAGTGCTATCTGTCTTATTCAAATCTACTGCAATCTGATTATAACCATGCAAAGTGAAGGATATTCTTAATTATTTACCATGAGCACCTAACTAGAGAAATGCTCTGTTATGCATTTTGGGGAGAAGCGCTTGCTTTGTTTTTCTTTAAAAAAAATATTGAAGTATAAATAACAATAACAAAAAAAAGAGAGAAGACAGAGAAGGGAAATGAGAGAGAAAAATAGAGAAGCAAGGAGACTGGCCAATGTGGATCATGGAAGCCACTTCAAAGTTTTAAATTTTTCTGATTAATAGAGCAGGACCCCTGTAGATACAAACTCCAAATGCTTATAATTGTCAAGGACAAGAGACTGTAAAACAGGTCAATGGAACTTTAAAACAATATCTTCATAAAGTAAAAAAGGGAGAGATATAACCCTGTACACCACAAATTTATTTAAACCATATTCTTTTTATTTTAAAGGTTTTGGATGCCAAGGAACGTTCTGCTGAGTGTCTATGGCGCTCTACAACTAGGCATACTTATGCATAGGGGAAAGGGAAGGATCCACTCACTGGCATAAGGCATGATCCTGATCAGGTTTAAATATGGGGAAGAGGTCATTTTGTGTTTTTTCTGCAGGATGCTGAAGGAACATGGTGGCCGCCAGAGTGATGGGTGAGATATGCTGATTCCAGAACAAAAAATGATGTTGACTTGTGAGCTTGCTGAGTGCCCTGACAATGGTGACTGGGAAGCTGTATTGGACATACATTCCCGACCCACCATTGCTTACCTATACCCCTGATGGGATAAGCTGCCTTGCCTCAAATTCTTAGACCTTGTGGAACAGAAAATCAAAAAGAGAAGTTATAATGCCTCTTTTATTGTTATTAAATGTGACCAGCTATTCAGACTAAATCATGGACTGGTCTAGAAATCAATCCATTAATGGAAATAACAGTCTTCATTTGGAAGTCTGGTTCTGGACATTTTCAAAGACATATATGGAAATTAGCTGCAGTTCTCTATGACATTATGTTAGCAAGAGATAAAAACTGAGGCAAGATCTGGATTTCAAACAGGTGTTAGCACATGTGTTAAGGCTCTTTCAATTGTCAAGTTAAAAATACTTTTGTTTCTTCTACAGTATTTAATGTAAGTTGCATTGATTGTACACCTTCTAATTGTGTTTGTGTTTTGAAATCTGGTATGTCAGTTATGGTAGTCTATCAACCAGCTTTTGTTTTATGCCCTGAGTATCACAGAACCTTAGTATTCTAAAAAATAGCTTCCAAGTACTGGAAGAAATGAGTCAGGCTTTAAGCAGAAGCAAGAGAGTAGTAGGCTTGATTATTGCTGGTATAACAGCTTTAATTACACTAATTGCTAGCACCACTGTTTCTGCAATTGCTGTGACACAAGAAGACAGCTACTTTTGTTAATCATTTAGCAAAAAACTTTACTAATACGTTGAATATACCAGAGGATTTAGATAGGCATCTGGAAGAAATGATTGATGCTCTTTATCCTATTCAAATTACTGGAAGGAGGTTCAGAATTTAAGAGTAAGGAGCCATCTTGAGTGTCATGCCAAATACCATTGGATTCATTTAAGTTCTACAATTTACAGTGGTAATCATTATAATTAGGAAGACATAATGACACGTGCAGTGTACTTGTCATAATTCTAACACCTCTTGGGATGATTTAATGATACGTAGGGAGCGTATGAATTTCAAGAATACTGTTCTGTTGAGCGGTGATGTGATAGATACTGCAGAAAAAATTACCCACGGCCTGAAGTCAGGATTTCTATTTTGGCCAAGCTTCAAAAATGGCATATATAGCTTGATCATGCTAACCCTTTTTGTCCTGGGAATACTTTTATTCCTGCCCATTGTGTTAAAGCTTTTCTTCAATAACATCAACATGTTGGTAGCCAAGTACATGGCTTAAACCTGAAAATGGACCCCCAGACAGAGTTATTAAATTAACAGGCTGGCAAGCCAAGGACGGGTAAGATTCTGCACAGAGCCTTACAACCTAAGACATAAATGCATTGCCTTTGATAATATTTCATGATATTCCATGATAGATAAGGAAGGCATTCTTGTCAGAATGACCTAAGACAGGCTCAGTCTTGCTAATGAAATAAAAAAGGGGGAGACGTAGAAGCTGACATGGGCCAAGGACAAGGAAATGGGCTGCTTGGCAGAAATATGACATTGGCCAAGGACAAGCAAGTAGGCTTCAAGCAGGAATCTGACATTAGACTAGAACAAAGAAGTAATCTCAGGCAGGAATCTAAATATTAGGCTAGAACAAAGAAGTAATTGCAGACAGGAATCTAAATTTTAAGCTAGAACAAGGAAGTAGGCTTCAGACATGAAAATGACATTGGGCTAGGACAGGAAAGTAGGCTCAGATACTTTGGTCATCCTGATAAGCCCTTAGAAATAGTGATCACGGGAGTGTTCACATAATTGGGTTTAATGCCTTGCTTTTTCTTTGACTACTTGTGTTTATTGTATTGTTTGTTCCTTGACTACCTGCATTTATTATATTGCTAGACCCTCAACCTAGAACTAACCTTAATACATGCATGTAATCAAAATGGTGTAAAAGCATAAAGGAGGAAGGGGTTGGGATAGGGGGTTCTAGGGAGGAGAAATGGGGAAAAGGAATGACATCTGTATTGTAAATAAATAAAATATTCAATAAAAAAAGAGCTGTACAGTTTTCTCTTATGCCATTTGCAGTCATAAATTCTAAAATATGATGAAGCATTATCACTTTAAAGGTACACCTCACATTCCTTCACACACAAAGAATACATGAATATTCTCATGTGCCGTACCCCATGCACCCCACCATCTATGCATCCCTGCACACCACACAACATACCTGTTTCACATTCTGGAGTTCTTCTATCAATTGCTTCCTATGCTTCTCTGATTCGAGTAATTTCTCCTGTGTTTGAAAAACCACCGAGTGAGTAGCATGCCATTGTGACACCAGGAATGATTTCTAGTCCTGTTTCAAAGTTTATTCCCCAAACACCAAATTGCTAAAAATCTCCTTGAAATTCCTGGTTATTTGTCTGGCTTTACATATCACTCACTAGTGGTCAGTTATCCAAGTCTCACAGTGGTGAAAACATCTCTATTGCTTTATGTAAAATGCCAAAATCTGAGCTCCAGAAGAAGCTAGTCAGGACTGAAGTGGGTAAACAGCAAGTAAATGTGGGTGACAGCGTCATTACTAAAGAACTACCAGAGTGAATAATCTTATTCTGAATTAGATGGGAAAAAAGCTTTAGCCAAACCAAAGAAAGACTGGGTTGACTCTTAGCTTCCCAATGTAATATTTGCCCATTTTTGAACAATTATTAAAAAAGGATAGAACTTTTATAGCTTAAATGTGAAGTATATATTTGAATACGGGCATAAAGGTAAAATATGATCATCTTTGAACCTAAAATTAAACTTAGCATGAATTCTGAGATGTCCCACCTTGTTGAGTGGTACAGTCAGAAATGCTTAGTGACCCAGGAGTCATCTTATTGAAAACATGAACAGAGTTCCTGGGACCTTAAGTAGAGTGGTGAAGAGTCATGGTAACATCATGACATACAGAAGCAGCAACTCCTGGAGTAATGCAGCCCACTCTGGTCTACTCTGCCAGCCCCTGCACTCATGGTGCTCTGCTGTTCGTCTCTGCACGTGTAAATGGGACATGCATCTGTTTCCACTCTTCTATGAAGAGCAGGAACAGTTGGAATTTGGGTTAAACAGTTCCCATAGCACTATTAAGGATCATTTCTGCAAAATAAAAATTAGCCAGAGGCTTAAACTTACTTATTTGTACCTCAAGTGAGACACAAAGCTGTCAAAGGCTGATGAGGAGTGAGAGCAGACCATTTCTACTCTATGATCGTCACTTAACAAGCTCTGCTGCTCTCTCTCTCTCTCTCTCTCTCTCTCTCTCTCTCTCTCTCTCTCTCTGTGTGTGTGTGCATGTATGTATGTATATATGTATGTACGTATATATGTGTAGATGGCTGTAACAAAATAGGCAGAATAACTGGAAATGCAACATAACCTTAAGCAAAACATTTATTGTATAATATACTATTTATAAAACTTTTAATTTTTAAATTAAATTTATTAGTTTTATTTGATGTGTATGAGTGTTTGACCCGCTTGTGTGTGTGCACCGTATGTGTGCCTGGTGCCCACAAAGGTCACTCAGAAGAAGCCAATGGATGCCCTGGAGATGGAGTTATGGATGATTGTGAGCCATCATGTGAGTGCTGGGAACAGAACCCAGATTCTCTGTACAAATAACAAGCACTGGTAATGACTGGGACACCCCTGTAGCCCTTATGAATCTTTAAAAATACATGAGTCTCAGAGAAAAAGATTCAATGTGGAGGAACTTTAAAGCAGAGTCATTTTTTATTCTGGGACTTTAGGTTTCGCAACATTAAAATATGCTCAATTACAGTTCATGAACTTGAAAGGTGATCTTGATTGAATGGCTCCTCAGGGGACCCTTGTTTAAATGTTACATGTGTATGCCTTACACAATTTTAAATTAAAATTCTAACAATTAATATTGACATTCAAATAAAACTCAAAATATATCATTAAATCCAACAGTTTAAAACTTTAGGGAAATAAAAATATGCAAGAACCTCAGGCACCCTGACATTGTGGATTTTGTTTGTATAAAGATGAATCACACAGGAAATACTGTCTTACCAATGTGACCAACACTACAGGATGGTTCTGAGACAGTCAGAAGAAACTAATAATTTTTTAAATGAATTCTGTATTTTCATGTAGGTATGCCAACTTGTAGAAAGGTGGCGAATTTCAGAATTATAAAATATAACCATATTTGTGGGAAGTTCACTTATATTTGGAAGGAATATGGATTGCCAAAGCCTTATGAAAGAAAATTTGGAGAAATATACAGAATGTTTTACATTAGAACACTTTAATATTGCAATTCTGTTTTCACAGATTTAGTGTGAACTTTCACAATTGCCTATCCACACACCAACAAAGTTACTAAGACTTATTTTCATTTTCATGTGTGTATCTACTGTGTATGTATCGTCACATATGTGTGGTGTCCTTGGAGGCCAGAAGATGGTGTTGAATGCCCTGGAGTTGGGAGTACAGGAAGGTACAGTCCACCTGATGTGGATCCTGAGAGCTCATGTCCCCTGGACTAGGAGCAAGTTCTTATCATCTCTGAGCTATCTTTGTAGTCCCTGGAGTTAGTTTTGATCATTGAAAACTGAAGATAACCTAAATATCCATTACCAGAGAACTGATTAAGACCCTGTAAGAGAACCAGCTGGTGTAGGGGCTCTCTACCACGGAAGACTTGCAAGAGCTGTGGTAGGAACTGCCCATGATTCAATTTGAACCACGGAGAAACAAAAGCCAAGCTGTAATAAAGTGGGCCTATAAGAACTAAGTTATGCATGAGTTAACACAATAAGCTTCTTTTTAACTGTTTAAGAATTTTTTTTTTTAAGAGTAGTTTTCAGCTTATATTTAAATACAGAGGAAGGTAAGTAGTTCCCACGTATCTCTGACCCATACACATATACATTTATTTTTTAAAATGTGATTTGTTTGGGCTGTCTTCAGAAACTCTGAGAGGATATGCTAAAAATTTTTAATAATGACTTCGTCTGAAGACTGCCATTATAAAACAACAGAAGGAAGAAAATGGTGTTTCTTTTTTGAATAAAGAATTTATACCAATAAAACTAAGTTAAATAACTACAAAGCTTCACCTAACAAAATAATTTTAAAATGCATACCTTTAGGGTAAAGTGATCACAAAGTAGTTATGTTGATTTCCTTGGAACATATAATAGTTTCTGGTAAAAGTAAGGATTTAACTTAAACTTAATATTCCATTAAGAATAGAATGTCACTATAGAGAAAGAATAAAAATATTATCATGTATTTGGAGCATATGTGATTTGTTCTCCCCTGAAAGCACAATGCTTTCATTTTGCAAATTACATTAGGAAAACACTCAGACATGACCCTGCACCTGGAAGAAAATGTCTTTTCTATGAACATCAGAGGATTCAAATTTGTTACAGATTGCTTAGTTGGCTCCTCGGCTACACCTGCTGTTGCCACCAATATGAGAGAACAGGAATCAGAGGAGCCAGATCAGACAGGAGAGGAAAACCTACTCCCTGCACACAATGGATTTTATGTGCCTCTCATGGAGTAAAAATAAGTGAGTGGTGACCTCGAGAATAACTCTGAAGACAACTACACAGATGACCCGATCAGATCTGATACTAATACGCTTTCATTAAAAGCAAAATGAGCACACTACTTCAGAGTCCAATCTGGGATCATGTCTTTTTAACGGCCAATCCAAGGACGCTGAGGAGATGGTTACCTTAAGCACATTCCGCTCTTCTAGAACAGCATTTCTTTCTTGTCTAAGTTTTCCCACTTCATCTGCTTCTAGAGAATCACAGGGGAGAAGCTGTCAACATTAAAATACAGAAGTTATGCATCAGATGCTAACCTTGAGAACACAAAGTCCTTTTTAAACCACCCCCAAACTTTGTTCCACATCAAAAATCAGGTTTTACTTTGGAGTTGTTTGACTGGGTAAAAGGAAACTAATGTACAGGGCCAGCCCTCTCCTCAGGTTGACCTTATACTGTTATTACTTAGAATTTATATTAGAAGATACACATTAAACATTTTTCTTTTATACATGTATATTTTAATTTTATGTGTACATGTGTGTGCAGGTTTGTGTATGGAGCAGGGATGCAGAGCCCATGGAGGCCAGAAGAGAGCAATGGATCCTCTGGAACTGGAGGTACAGGTGCCCACGTTGGTGCTGAGACCTGAGCTCAGGTCCTCTGCAAGAGCAGCCAACGCTTTCAACTACTGCCGTCTGTCTCCAGCCCTAAGCTGGCTTGAAGTGTTCTCTCCCAGAGATAATCCGTTCCTGATACTTGATTAGACTGATAGGCATCACACTATAATGGATGGCAGTCTGCTGCCAAGACAGGAGCTTTACTGGGTGTGCACACGAATGTCAGCCGTGCCTTTTCTGTGTATGACCTCATGTGCCTTCTGGAATTTCACATTATGTCTAGTGGATTCTTCTTCCTACATCTTAACTAGAAGAGGAATGGGATCAGTCCCCAAAGTTTGCATATAATTATCTTTTTTGAAAGACTGTCTTCAGCTTACAAGCACTTTTTATCTTTATCTTTTTTTTTCTGTTTCAGTCTAATAGTTTTATTGGTGACAGTGGTGGGTGAGACAGAGTTTCTCTATAGAGCCCAGGTTGGTCGTGAACTTGCTTCAACATCCTGAGTGCTGAGAGTATGGGCATACACCACTACACCCAATGCTAAACTCCCTGGTCACCTTTTCGAAGACTAAATTCAACCTTACTTCTAACAATGAATTCAAATGCTAACTTAATCATAAACTTCTAATAAATGTTACTTTCCTTGGATTACATAAAGTTATGTTACTATTCTTGCCTTTCTATATAATGCACTTTTAAAGTTTGTAACTGTTTGTGTATGTGGCTCTCTAGTATAAACTATAGCAAGTTTATCTATCTTTATAGCCTGTGCCATAGTACCTAACACAACATCATCAACACTGTCATCATCCGGATGTATCTGATATCTTACAGGTGGGTCTTTAGAAGTTACAAAGAGTTTACACACAGTGGGAATTACCATTTACATTTTGACCCAGTATAAGAAAAAAACATTACAGTCACATCACATACAAGTCAGTTTGATAGTTTCATTCAGCTTTACGCCATTAGTTAAAATAAGAGGCCTCAATATACCAAACTAACATGAGCCTTAATTGTGGAAAATTTACTTTAGGGGACTGACAGCATGTTCACTGCTCAGCATGCTGTCTGAAGATAATCTATGCATGATACTTGGTTAGACAGATAGCGCATCATAGCTTAACGGATGGCGGTCTTCTGTTGTGCTGGGTGTGGATGAGGCACCAACCTTGCCTTTTCTGTGTATGACCTTGTGCTGGCAGCAGGTGTAGCACTGTGTGAAGTTTTTAATATAGAAATGATGATTAGAATCACAGCAAGACATATTATATTTTGGGTTCTAAACGCCACATTCTCCTCAATCCAAAAGTTCATTGTCAAATAAACAAAAGCAGGACTGACATATACTGACTCAGCAATTCCCCCTTAAAAAGGTGACAGCCCAGACGTCTGAGTCAGAGACAACTGGAAGAGCTCGTCATGGTGCACACACTCTAGTTATGAGCCCAGTTACGAAAAGCAAGAACGATGGGCTCCACTGTTCTAAGGTCAAAACAGCAGCTCTTATCCAGGTGGAAATGGGAGCTTACTGCAAACCATGTGAGAGATGTCTGAAGAGTGATTTCACCTGAGATACATGACGGATAGCTAGTAAGCTGTAGACATATCATGACTGTCATGTATGTATCATATATATACATATATGCATGCATCTATATAAGTATGTATATATGGTTATGATATTTCAGTAAACATATTAAAAATATTATGAAGCTGGATGTGGTAGAGCATCCCTGTAATCCCAACACTTGACAGTATATCAGTAGGAACATGAGCTCAAGGTTAGCTCAAGCTACATACTAAATTTGAGGCCAACCAGGGCTATATGAGCGCATCTCAAAAAATGCTCAAAATAAAATAAAATTAATAAATATAAAGCAAGGAATTAGGAAACAAGAAACTAGGACAGAGTTGGCAGCAGAGCCTCACGGCAAGTTTTTCTGCTCTTGCCCCTCTCCTTCCCAGACAGCATCCTAAACCTTAGTTCTTCTTACTTTAGCCCTAGCAACAGTCACTGGCACGGACTCTTCTCTCAACCCAGCATCTATAGACTCCACTCAGAGCCTCTCAGCTTTCTTGACCTCTACCTTAGAAAGCATCCTCTTACCTGCTTCCCTTCCGCGGCTGCCAAAACCTCCAGCTGGCCTGGTATGTTGCTTTTTTTCTCAACTCCAATAAAACTATCCTCAAGCTGCCTTCTGAATCCATCTTTAAATGCTTTTATTTATAACACAGACCCTGAACAAGGGATCTCGTCTCCTACTGCTATGAATGTTTGGTGGTCCACATGAGAAGAATTGAAAGAGACCTTCGCACACAGGACAAACTTCAGACATGTAAATCAATCTGTGGACCCACGATCCAACATTTCCGCTCTTGTAGCTAATTTATCTGATAGTATTTGTGTTAGCTAACGTAATGCCTCCACCAAAATCCCAAAACCCAACTTTTGGGTGATGATGCATGGGAGAATCTGGTCCATGCCAGATGAACAAAATCAGAAGCCAGGAAAGATCTTGGATAGAAAAGGCAATGCCTTTTACTCCTCTGATCTTGTGGCCCACTCTTCTTTTAAGGAGTAGGAAGTATCTAAAGTGCTATTCAGCAGGAGATGAAGAACTAGACATCCTCTTTTTCCCTTCTATGATGAGGAAGGTCCTCATTCCTCAGGGAGAGAGGGTAGAGGATGACAGGTAGAGAGAAAAGGATGGAAAAGGGCCATTTGTGGCCATCAGCTTTTCAAGCTCTATTTGTGACATGTGCCTATCTCTGCCAGCTCTCTAGTAAAATGGTATTTGATCTGTGGGTAGTACCTTTCCTGACATAGACAGCGAGTATGCCCCATTTTGGACATACAAATACTAACATAGTAACACATTTTTGATGCAAATTGCATGGTTTATGGTTGGTAACCTTCTTTACAAATAGTTTGATTAGTGGATGATAATATTCATTCATGGGAACAGCAAAAGCTGTAGCCCAGCCAAGGCCAGTAGACCTACTGTAATATGAGAAAAAACAAACAGACAAACAACTTGTTTTAAAACCTCAAGAAGGCTAGTCTGATGGCAGAAACATACAGCTGGAGGCAGACAGAAATGGGAGGAATAGCATTCTCTTAATGAGATGTGGGCTCACATACCCAGAAGCTCCTCTCAATCAGCTGCCTGCAGAGCCTCACTGCTAAGCTTGCTCGCCTTGGGAGTTCTGATGCAGAAAGCAATTGTTCCCTTTTCCATCTCCCTTCCCTAGACAACGGCCAGAATCCTAAGCCAGCTTGTTCTGATACTCAGGCCATTGCTTTTTGGGTGGGCCTTGCTTGCCTTCTATTATCCATTTCCTCATGGCAGCTGGGATTTCCAAAATACTTGCCCTGCTGTTTTCCCTCTCAAATGCCAGTGCGATTGACCTTGACCTTAGTTTCTAATTCTATTTAGAAAAACTTTTATCTATGAGACTAAGACCCTGAGAAGGGGACTTTATATCCCCTCGTAATATTTTCACACTTCGGCTTAGACATGTGTCTCTTTTATTCTTTTTTTCCATTACATCTCATGGGCACTTTAGCCCAGATTCCTTTGACTTTGCCTACCTAAAACACATTACCTCCCTTCAAGGCTGAAGGTATACACAAGTCACTGTCCTTGGCCTTTCCTTATAAAATGTCTTACAGTCCAGGGACAACGGGACTGGACACAAGTGACTAACTGTACTCCCTAGCAACAACAAACCTACATGGCAGACCAGCGAAAATGAACACAACTATCTATACTACAGAGTCAGCTCTCTGGAGTAGATCATCTTATGGTAACCGGTCTCCTGTGTCTATGGCTTCCAAGGGCTACTTGTAGTGGTGGAACTCAGGCACCAATGGGTGGGTGGCCAGGACCACTTACTTACTCATACCTCCTGTCCATGACCCAATTATTGCTCTATTGAAATCGAAAGCACATTCCAATACCCCGAATATGGACAAAGGGTCACTGGATCTTTTTATATGTGCTTACTAATGGCTACAGTTGACTGGAACTCGTCCCCCTGCTTTTCGCACGAAAAGGGAAAAAGGCATCAACTGTTTTAATCAGTCATGAAAGGAGAACATATGAGTAAGGCATCCCATGTAAAATAATTATAAACTTGACCTGTTATTGTGAAACTATGGCTGCTGAGGGTAGTCATAGTGGAATTTCCCCACCTTCATGGACTGTCAACATCACTACCATAGACTGACTGTTCCAAAGTAGGCACTCCACTGCTTTGAACGTAAAAATGATGGGGACTTACACAATGAAACAATAACGTGGACTTTAGCTTGTGGTAAACTAGTTAACAAGCAGTGACTTATCTAATGCCTTTAAAATTGGAGTATTTTGTTTACTCATGAATTGTAAGATGGAATTTTAAATAAAATAGAATTCAATAATATTAAATGAGTAGTCAATGTGTGCTCTGAGAGACTTCTTTCATTGTACATGGGACTGTGATGGATCTAGCTGGAGGAAAAAGGAATGCTCACACTGACAATAATATCTTCTGTGTGATGAGAAGCAGAAGGCAACAAATAGAATTTCATAAATTAATGAGTATTGCACAACATTTTGATCTACAGCCTCAAGAGGAAACCATTGGCACGCAGAGCATCTTGCACA